ATTGAAATAATATATCTATATTATACACAATTGGTTTGAATTACGTGAAGTATTCAAATACCTTCTTGTTTATTTACTTTTTCAAGAACTCTTCTCGTTGCCAGGTAACGGATGTAACCGATTTTGTACATTTCCGGCGCTGCCACCATAGAAAAACAATAACCTAAATAATATATAAATAAACTACGTAAATGAAAAAGACAATTATAATACACTTTGTTACATACCAAAAAATTAAAAAGACATGTAAAAAGTTAATTGCATTTATGATTATTCTTAGATAAACAACACTCTCAATCGCCTCTCGAAATCGAAAAATATCTCTAGAGAAGTGTTGCCATTGCTGATTTTTGAAATAAAAAAAAGGAAACTAAAATTAAAAATTTAACTATAGCCATATCATATAAGTTTTTGTATTATTAGTATTATTATACTATTTGTATTACTATTTATCGGCTCGATTTACAATCACATTCTATTTTTATAATTACTTTACATAACACCATTTGACAGCTCAACACTGTCAACGAGCTGTCATTTGTAATCGAAATCGAGGTATGAAAGTGATAAGATAACATTTCTATTTTTACTGCCATAGCATTAATTTCGATTTTTTATTTTATAGTTATAATACCAAATATGGTACTTCTTGGATCTGTAAGATCATTTGCGCTTCAAAGCGCGAAGGCTAGAATTCCTATGATAAAATTCAGAAAGGGGGCTGCAGTTTCTGCTGATCATAATACTAGTGGTTCAAAGAGTCAAAGTCAAGGCAATTCAATGAATGTAAATAATGTATAATTTGTTCCCTTATAATAGCATATTTGAAACCATTTTTCTTTACATATAAATCGATTATATGTTCATTGAAAGAAATTAATTTCTATGACAGATCTTGTATATAAAAAATATTACTTACTTATTATTTAGATGTCAAGTGCTTATTCGACAGAGGCTATTGAAGATTGGCAACTACCTCTAAAATGGAGAAGACGAAACATTGATTTAGATGAAGTGGATTATATCAATCGTGGAGGCCCTGCATAAACTTAAATTTTAGATTAACATAGAAATATTTATTGTAGCATCTTTCAAAAATATATAAATTATATTTCTATTTACAATTTTTTATTAACTGGGTATAAAATCACATTTAGTTAATTATAAAATATATAAAATTCATATTATATCTACTAATAAAGTGTCTGTTAAAAATAAGTTTAGGTATTTAAGTATCAATATATAACCCTGGATGAAAATAACAAGTATTAAAACTGATATTTTCATAATATGGCGTCTGAATTTTATTATCAGATGTTAAAAAGTTTCTGAATTTTACAGCAACTTGCTTCATCATACTTTCAACATCTGTATCACACGCATTCTCTGCCCATATATTACAAATTGTATTAATGTACCAAGTACCAGTTTCTGCCTCCCGATAGGACTGAAACCCTAAATTGTTTTTTTATATCTCTATGAATGTTATATCCATTTGTTTATTTGTATTATATAGAATAAAAAATATTACCTGGTATTGTGGAATGACAAATTAACATATCACTACATGTGGGCATAGCACGCATAGTTGAACCTCCATCAACCATAGATTTAGCTAATTTAGAAGTAGGTGCATCATTAAGTGAATTATCTGAAATATCACCCCTAAAATTAAGAATTACTATAACATTTACTCATAAACCAAAGAATAAGCGTTAATTTTGCACTATAATTTCAAATAAAGCATATTTTTCAACATACCTACAACATTGAAATATAAATATTTTAGGTATATTACGTAATAAAGGGCATTGCCGGTTATTAAAACAGTCAGTAATCCATGATAAATATACTGGATTATGATCATATGAGAAAATATATCCATCTCTTTTAAAATCATTTCCATGGCTCATTACAACAACTATGCAACAGTCAGTTTTATGTAATAGTTCTGTATTTGAAGAAAACTTTGTTATAACCGTTTGTATGTCATGCATATTAAGATTCATATAATCCTCTCCAATAAAGTCCATTTGTTTAAATAATTCAAGTAAGTTTCTGTGATCTATTTCAGCCCCCAGTCGTTTTTGTTCGCACTATAAAAGACAAGTATTAACTAGTATTAGAAGCCAAGCATAAGACAATTATGTTCTCACTGTATTATCTTACATCATTGACAAACTCTATATTATTTATGATAAGGTAGACACCTCTTTTTTTGGATCTCATTGGATATTTAGTTTCTTCAGTATCCATCATGTCATAAAACTGAGTAGCCTTTTTTACTTTAATTAAAATTGGATTAACTGACATATCAACCTGAGCTTGATTTTCTATTGCGCTAGCTTTTATTGCCTCATTATTTGACGTTGGTGGCAAAACATAAGGATGTATATGTTGTGTAACCTCAGTTGGACTATTAGACGTCTGAGATAAACTTCTTTCATAATTGTTTTGTTGATTGTTAAGAATGTACGAAGAGTTTTGGTTATTATCATGGTCAGATGAAGTCAACAATCGTGCTAAATTAAAATGAGCAGTTTCTTCAAGAGCCTCTATTAGTGAGGAAAATGCAGTAGGACCACGTTTTTGAACTGCTAAATATAAGTCTCTTTTTCTATCTCTTTCTGTGACCAGCTTATTCTGAAAGATAATTGAAATTAATACATATGACTAAATAACATAAAAATGACAAATCTTAAAGAAGAAATCACATAATATCAGTGAGGAAAATGTTTTAAAAATTTATTCAGTACATATATATAATTTGTTTAATACTCATTATTTATATTACCTTGAATCTGTCAATCATGCTTTCAGTAAAAATTCTTTTTTGCAGTAAACGTGGTAGCAGTATGTCTAATTTTGTTAGTTCTATTAGTTCTACTAAATGCTGGGTAATTTTATTCCTATCCGCAATATTCATTTTATCTTAAGAGTTTAATTCACCACAGAAAGATACATAAAATAAATCAGATTATTATTTCTATCGTTCTATATTTCTTTCTCGGTAAATACAAATGTAAATAAAAAATAAACTATCAAAGCATGTCATCTTGTCATGATATGTCACAACCTAGAAAATATAATAATGTGTCACAACCTGTAGGCAACTTCTCACTGCGAGGCGAGTTGGTGTAGTTCACAGATAAAAGAAACATAAAGGTTTGCTTCCAAGATAATAACGAATACAAATATTAGGGTTTCGGCACACAAAACGATTAAATACATATTTAGAAAATAAGAAAATAAACGGCATTGGTAGAATTAGTAGAAGTCCTTATCCTCCTTATCCATACCTTATCTATAATGAATATTAATTATTTTTTCTCTCATTATAATACTACTTTAAAAATATGTATTATCATTCAAGTATTCGCCATTCAGCTCTTTTTTCTCAAAATATTACTACTTTTGTTATGATTTAATTAAATTTTAACCATGATCAAATCATTCATTGATATTGTTTTTTGTAATTAATTTTCACTTTGAAATTTTTTCTATTTTGAACTGCTAAATGAGGAAACGAAAGGAAACTTAAATGAGGATCTTAAAGACAAAGATCATTCTATTGTTTTTTGCTAATATTTATATATTACAATAATTTAATAAAAATTGTCTGTAAATAGACTATACATAATGATATAATTATCCAATATACAATAAATTAAATATTGATACATCATTATGATATTGCAGATCATTAATAATTTAAGTCATATTAAAATAACTTAAAGTTGTATTTAAAATTATTCAAACAATTTCTTATATATTTATATGTATGTCGATTTCAATAAAAATCATACATTATATGTCTCATTTATGTTTAATTCATAATTAGTGTATAAATCTTTGGTTTATTACATATTTCTTGTACACTAATAATTGATGATTCAGTAAGCTGCTGTTAATTAAACAAATTCTTTCTATTCAAAAGAATAACATATTTTAAACTAAATGCAATGCTATATACTTCTTTAATAGCTTAATATTTCCATAATATTTTTATAAAAAAAAACAGAATAGAAATTTATTTACTAATTAAAAAATTATGCTATGAAAATGTTTCAAAAATCAAAGTTACCCTGCCTGATTCATGTGATTAATGTGCCATTAAATTCATATTTGCAGAATTATGAAATATATAATATCGTATACACGTCCAATAATTTATTCTCCAAAATATTAAAAATTAGCCCTAGTTGGATCATGATTTCATACATTTCAATATCAATATTTTAACATTTCTTTAAAAAAAATCTTAGAACTCAAATAAAACTGCTGACATGTATTATTTAAATTAAAGCAGGTTGTACCAGTCACACATTATATTTTTATTTGCTTTTTCTCACATTTGCATCATTTCTAAAGATTCAAACTGATATTTGGATCAATTCCAAATATTAGTTTGGGTGCACTAAATACATAAAAGTCAAATGTAAAAGTATAGCTCGTGATGCATTAATGTGTGTGTTATTAAATGCAAGCAACTGGCCTTCGTAAAAGTGTTATTTAAATAAAGCACTACTTGCCTACAAATAATTTAAAATTTATTGTCATTGATTTAATGCTCAGAAAATAAAGATTTGGAGTTACGTTACTACATTTAAGTATACAAAATATGTTGTATTATTGTTTATAAAAAACGTAGATATTTCATGATATACATATAATAGTGATTGAAATTGAGAGAAAACAAATTGAAAAAATGAATTTTTTGCTTTATAAGATAAACACTAGAATAAGTTAGAAATATCGTAAGATAATAAATATTTGGTTACATTTTTATACAAATGTTTGTTTCTTATTTTCAAATTTTATTATATAAGCAGGCCTAGTTTAAATTTTATGCTAAGAACTCTTGTACATGAAAGCTGTGTCAATATATAATAGTAAAACAATGCATGACTTTCAAACGAATTAAATCAATTGAATAAAATACATCATCTTTGTTCATATAAGATTTGGAAATACAACTTGGGTAAAAACTTTGAATCAAATCAAAGGTAGAAAAATGTACATTTGATTAGACTGAATATAAAAATTATTAATGTTAAAATTGGAATGGAATAGTATAATGCATTTGTCAAGTCATCATGGGCCATATAAGCTGGAAGTACATAAAAACCTCTTATATAATAAATTCACTAGATATGTATCATCTAGAATAATATTTCAAGCAATTTCATTCAAACACATTAAAAACCTAAACCATTAATTTAAAACATGTACTAAAAACAATGTACATACATATTCTTACCTTATCTTAAACATTATAAAATCATATTAACATACATAATCTCACAATACATAATCACATAGCCTTGTTTGGTATTTTTATTCTATTCACAACATAAAATAAAAGTTTATTTTGACCTAATACTATAGGCTTATATGTGCACATATATATCTTTATGGTAATTATTACACTTACACTAACTATTATATGAGTATATAATATTTTACTGACTGATTACTTAAGTAATTGTAGTAATAGTTTTATCAAATACACCAATGAGCTGTCTTGTTGTCACATGATAAATCAATCATTAAAGATCTTGATTTACTTTTACGTTTTTTTTTATTCACCTTGACTAATCAAAACGAATATTTTATACCACATATATCATTTCGACATATTTTTGTTTTAGGTTCCATAGTTTACAATACTATAAAACCAGTTTTTTTGAAAAATATTATACTTTACCGTATTATTAAAATTTTATATACAACCAAGTGAACAATTTTGTTGATCACAGGACTTCGGATATATCAAGTATTATGAACAAATTGCCAAAATTTAATGATGCATCATTATCTGAGGCAAAATGACTACATAGCAATGATATATCTATCAGATATATTATTTTGTTCCAAAAACTACAAAATCTTGTACGGCGTCGTCAATTCTTCTAAATTATTATCCCAATCAAATTCCGTAACTCCACTGCGAAGATTAGCCAGTTCGCCGAGATGGGCGAACCTTTGTTCAAAATTTGCATCTTTAGCCTTAAGTTTTTCAAATCTTTGGAACATCAATTTCTTAGCGAATGCGTATAATTGGATATCTAATGAATTCAGTTCGTGAATTCTGCGTGCTTGTTCGCTGGTGACAGAATTCAAAGCCGCACTGGACACCGTGGCATTATGCTGGTCGAAGGGAATGGCGAACCGCATGTTGAACGTTTCTTCAAATACGTATTGTGCCACCTTAAAAAAGTAAATAAAAATATGTAATGCAAATAACAAAACCAGACTCATTAACTCTTTCGTTGTCTAGTCCGTTCAGTAGGGCTATTGGACGAATTGAGTATCACTGCTGAGAAAAACACTAACATAACGTAAGGGTTAAGTTTGAATATAAATTCACCCTAATATTAACAACTTAGGCTTGTTTGTTTGCTGACTATCAATCAGAGCTTCGTGGGTTCTATAAGATGTTGTCAAAGGAACTTATTCCAGGTTTCTACAAACGCTGTAGTAAACAACCCAGTAGGTTCGTTATCAATTCAAATAGACATTTAATCACTTCACGGTGTTTTTTTCTAAAGATAATAGAAAAAACAGAAGTGATATCACGTAGAAAATTCATTAAAGTTTGGAATAATATGCATAGGCACCTTATTGGGAGCATACACCGTCTAATCGTTAATATAGATATAAAAATTATAAGTGTGTTTGTAAGATATAAAAGGACCACCGTATTGACTATTTTTAGTGAAAAACAAAAATTCTATTTTCAAAATGTAAAATATTATAAATTTATACATCTAAGTTAGTTACCTTCTGGTGTTCAGTCAATCCAAAATAAGCCATGGACGCTAAATTGCGTTTGGCGCTCTCCAACATCAAATGATCCCGTTCAGTCTTCGACATGGCTGAAGTATTATAGCAACCAACCTTGGACAAATCTGCTAACATTCTAGTTTGTCGATTTGCAGCCAAATTACTTGGGCATGCCATAAAGCTATCCAAATCCACACCATGCCATGTGGGACCAGTGTAACAAGGCGGAAGCTCCCGAACTGTAGATAAATAAATATGGTAATAAACTGTGTCAAGTCTTTATATATTGCTTTCGTCAACATTTCGATGTGTAGTTGATTAAAAAAATAGCGGTTATATAAAGATGATTAAAAGTTTCACATACTGGACGCATTTCGACCATTGCACCAGTGCCTGGAATTCTTCCACGTCGCTCCGCGCTGCACGTGCCTGTATTCCGACAAATAACGAGCAACAGGCTCACGAAGCAGGGTCACATAGAAGTATCTTCTTCTGGCTGGACCACCTTCGGTTCTGGAAGTGATAATCGTTTAACATATTAAGTTTTAGACAATAGTTAATAAGATATGATTGCTTAGTAATTATATATTCAGCGCGGTTGTGATAAATTCTCTACTACCGATTGTTATTCCTTATATTTGTGATGATTTTTTCACTTCTAAAACAGGTATTGCAACTGGTATTTTTACCATAAATATAAAATGATAATGGTTTAAAATCAGTACCAAAGTTATAAAAACTTTTTGAATTATATATGCGATGCTTTATTAACTTTCTTTAGGGTAAGTTATAGTAATCGCAAAAAAATCTAAATTGAAAATTTTCATATATCTTTACGTTTCAAAGGTTTCTGAAAATTTTGACATACCTTAAAAAAATGTATGTATGTGTTTGCGTGTGTGTGTGTGTGTAAACAGGTATCAACTGATTAGAATAATTCGAAAAACATTTCATTCGTAGTACGAATCGTAGTACGAATTTCGTACTAATTGGGAGACGTGGTGATTAGTTTTTGGTCAAAGTAAGTTCAGCCGTTTCAAAGATACGTGCCAGAAAATGTTAAATTTTATAGAGATTGCTTTGTAAAAATTTGTAAAAAAAAATCAAAAAATAAAAATAAATTAAATTTTTCAAAAAGTGAGTTTTTTAAAATTTTCTAAATTCTTAAAAATCAATTTTTTTTCAAAGTTTTCAAAAACAACTTGAAGCTTGTTCAAACATTCTGGTTGCCGGTGCGAGAAGTTCCAGCAATTTGTCTTAAGGCATGATGCAATGCACCACTAGTATTATTCTTAAACGTGCAAGGAAAACGCATAAATTATTTAAAAATATGTGAAATATTATGAAATGATAAAACAAGTAATTTTTCGCCCGAACATTGCAATTAAGAAATCTTATAAAATATTACCGTATCGTATGATATTAGGTTGTCAAATATCTCCCTTCCGCTTTTTTGCTCTTGGTTTATAATACAAAAAGGCGGAAGGGAGATATTTACCTAATATTATGTCATATGTATATTTTTATGCCCACGTGCTCAATTTACATAATTCAAATATTTTTCCTTCTTTAGCAAATGCTATAATCGTTTTCGCAGTGAACTTATTGGCAATGTGCACAATATGTTTTCATTATCTTTAGCCTTATATAAATACGAACGGAATATAGAAGGGAACAATGAAGATGCGGCTGAGGCAGATAAATATTATGCCTCATTGTTTACTTGGGTTCCTAAACAATCATCCGACTTTCTTTTCCTTTTGTTAAATCAATATATTTGTGTTGAAGTTAAGACGTAACCATGTTTATGTTCCTAACGGTGCCATAGAACATGAACTCCCAAGTTGATCTTTACGAACTTTTATTAACTTCGAAAACGCTTCGGAATACGAATCGACTAAGATTATCGAAGTTTCATGATCATTAATCAATTATTTAATCCGTTTTATTGCTTCGAGTAAACTGTACATATTTTGTATGCTATTAACTCTAGATATACCAGCCGTTTGTATATACCTATTTCTACCAATACCAGTCAAATTGACTGGTCTCTAAGAAAACATACTTATTGTGTTTTTAAGTTGAACAAAACTAACTACAGCTGTTAAATAAACTTATAGATATTGTCAAATAATAAAATATATTAATTTTTAACAGTTTTTACAGTACTTTAACACAATACTCAATAAAAGTGTGCGGCAGCACCCACTTGTTTGCGCGTAAAATTACAGCTAACGACGTGTTTTTAGATTTTAATTTCAATGTCATATAAATAATTGAAAAATAATATTGGTTATTGCATTTATACCCTTCATGGTATATGTTTCAAGAAGTTTCATTACTACAAATTCGCTTAGAGGGGTTGATTTTTCGTCTTTCCCTAAATCCGGGCAACCATTTACCATATATTTTGTTTCTACATCAGATGTCAGTCAGAATTTTATGTAAATTTATAAAGTTTCTTTGGCATTTACTGGCCAAATATGCTTCTGGCCTTTGTTGGAAAATGTTATTCAACCAAAGTGATATGAGCTCCCGGTTTGAAGCAATTTTTGCTATTTTCTATAATTTGTTCCAAACCCGGGCTTTTTTTCTATAAATTTGGCCTGAGTATGTGTCTGAAAGCTCTTTGAACTTCTAATCTACATGCAAAGCCTATTTCACATTACTACAACTCTTGTCCAAATAATTTCGTCCAAACTAATTTTAGTTTCCTGACTTGGTGCATTACTTCCAAATTCGTCTTCAGAATTGGAGGAAAGTGGCTCGCATCGTCTCATACGTTTTGTTTGTGATATCTATCTATTTACTAACGTACTTGATCCATCTGTATTGTCTTTATCACGAAATTTTCCCATTTCTACAGTCGATAACAGCACTGCCTTGTGGATTAATTTATTTATCTAAAAAATCAACGGCACTATTATATATTTCAAATCCTAGATCCAAACATTTCAGAGATCCGCTGATTGTATTTTCCAAACAAGCTAAAAAAACATTGTTTCCATTCTTTTTTCGAAAACTGACAGTCGCTACAAAAATAAATCGAAACCATGGCAGTTTTCTCGTTTATAGTTTTTTTTTTACTCAAAAATATATTTTTGGAAATTTTTGTGTCCACGCGAATGTTACTGACTTGTATCAGTGTACAAAAAGAATAAATAATTATACATGAAAATCACTTTGAATAAAATTTTATTTAGTGTGTTGAACGAAGCTCGAAACAATTGTTTTGTTGGTAAAAATCTAGTAATTCTTTAGCAATCTGCATTTTTACAATGTAAAAGAGAATAAAGTATAAATAATATATATTATCGTCGATAAGAGAGTAGGCGATAAACGCATACGATCAATGGCTATTGTTAGTTCGGTTCTTTTATCAAACATTTTCATGTATTTTGACATGGTGCTGGTACAAGTAGTAGTAACACAATTTATTTTTGTTACTAATATATATAAAGTAACTTTGAATGCACAAAATGATTTCTATACTTATAACTTAAAAAGTCATAACTTCATTTCACAAAACAAATTTTACATATAATGGAAATTTTGAATTGAAAGTGCCCAACCAGTCATTTTGACTGGCGTGGTATATCTAGTGTTACCTTTATATAATTCAACCATATTCTATCAATTATTCAGTTTTATACGTACCCGTTTTAAAATAAATATATTAATTAATTAATTTTTTTCAAACTCTGTTTTATTAATTAATTAATGAATTGAATATTATCAATTACCTGTCTAGTTCCTGGTCCACACAGTTTGTGAGTTCGGTCCAGTCGGCGTGCAGGCCGCACCGCCATCCTGTCGAATATCGTGAGAATAACCAGATTTCCTTCCTATTCGGCCTGAAGCAGTAGCATCGCTTCTTATTTCGCTGACAGGAGCAAGGGCGCTGCAACGGATAAGCGGAAACTGCTCGTCATACAAGAATCATGAAGGATTTATTTAATTAGAATTGGATCCGATTACAAATTTAATGCGATGACAGATTATGATGATCAATCATAATCTGGGACGAGGCGTCTTGAATAAGTCGTTGTAAAAAAAATTTTATTAATCATAGATAGTTATTTAGCATATTTTTTATAATAGACACATTTTGATTGTAAATTTCTTTAATCTTTTTAAAAGATTAGATGACTGCATAAAAAGATTCCACAAAATTCGTGTGGACGTCAACTGTAATCAGTAGCTACCGACAAAACATTACAGAACATACATATGCTTCCGGTACAGATTCTGATTAGAAACGCTCATATTTTTGCCAAATTTAGGGCCAAATATTTCAAAATGACTTGAAATGTAAACATAAACTGAGTAAACATAAAATTAGCAAGCCAGAATATTGTTAGCCATATAAGGTAGGGAGGACACAAAGATCCAATTTGACTTTGAGCAATTATATTGTGAAAACCAAACCAATTATATCACAACAAATAACACATGTCAAACAAACAACTATCTGACTATGTTAAGTAAAACTTTTAGTTAATTCATCATTGTAGAAATATGTTTAATTTGCTATTTTTCAAACAATTGTCAACTAGTCGTTAGCATGAGGGGGGAGGGAGTTGTTGGGACGACCAGGGGACAAATAGATCTAATGTCTTATTTTTAATTTCAAGGGGATTTTACGAAATAATAGTTATATTATCCGACCAAAGCAAAAATTAAATTTCATGGGTATATTTTTCACAGAGAGATAATACTGAAAATAGCGTTGATCTGGTTATTGGTCAGAAATATCTATGGACATAGTTGGAATAAATATTTCTCTCTCACAATCCTTCATAAAATAGCTTTTTAGCTTCCCGTAGGGTAAGTTATAGTAATGGGTAGTAAATCAAAAATGATTTTTTTTTGCATATCTTCACGTTTTTCAAAAATATGTAACCTGGTCCTTTTCACCCCATAGGCAGAGTATATTTTGAATTTTATAGAAATTTTACAAATTAATATTCAACCAAGTATTTTCAGAGATAATACTGTATATAACCTTGATGTGGTATTTCATCAAAAATAACCCGCATGGTTGGAATAAATATTTATTTAACTTATCTCTTGTAAAATTGCTTTTTTTTTACATTTCTAGACGTTTTGAAGGTTTCTGAACATTTTGGCATACCTCAGAAAAAATGGATGTGCGTGTGTGTGTATGTATGTATGTATCGATACAAATTTTCAGTCACGTTTTCGGGCGCACGGATCAACCGATTTCAATGGTTCAAAAAATATTCGATTCCTATTGATAGGGAGATGAGATGATTACTTTTTGGCAAAGGCACGTCCAGCAGTTACGGAGATAAAGAGCAAAGAGTGCAGAAATTAGAAATCTAGTTTTTGAGAGAACGGAGCATCCGATTTGAATGATCTAAAAAACATTCAATTAGTAATGATTGGGAAAAGTGTTTATTAGGCAAAGACAGGCCCAGTCATTTCGAAGATACGGAGCTAAATGTGTAAAAAATGGCAGTTTTTGAGAGAACTAAGCGATTTAAATGATTCAAAGAACTTTCTGCTTGTCTTAACAAAATAATTGATTTACAAAAAAAAAATTGTATATTGAAAATAATTCAGATTTTATTTTTAATTCTGACTTTAGTTCTAATATACTTTAAACAAATAATTTCAACTTTGCAATTCAGTTTATATAATTCTTATAAATATTAGACAATGTTACAATATTAATAATAATCTATTTGAAAACATTCAGTATTCCTTGAACATTCCGTTACAGTACGGGAAGTTCCAGCAATTTGCCTTAAGGCACGATGCCATACATCCCACTAGTTTACTATTTTTTATTGTTTACAGATTTGCCAGGGTGAGGGTTCAGTTGGTCCGTCTTACCACAGTCACGTGTTAGTTTTTATAAAAGTTTAATTGCAACTTATTTCAACTCGATTATTAATTTCAGAGCACAACTTTTTAATTTACAACTGTTGCATATTCAAAAATTGAATGATCATAGATTCCACAATACTATTGTCAACTTTTCAAAATAAGTTTCCAGAATATTTTTTGACTCTTTACAATTATTCCTCTTATAAATGCATCTCATCTCAGTTAATCATATATCAAATCTCTAATTTATTTAAAATCACTAATTTCTTAAAAAGGTATATAAATTTTCTATTTCCGAATTAAGTATCATAGAACTTTATATTTATGAGATCAACAATCTTTCAATCACAATCATAATTTAGGTAAGCCTTTAGGTAAGTATTTCTCTTATGCTTTATTGAACCAAAATACGAATAAAATAGCAGGATATAATTTAAATGTAATATCGTCAACATTTAATGCTTATATTGTATATTAAAACATAAATCCCTCAATCCACCACAAGTTATAATTACAGAAACAGTATAATATCGCCCTATCAGGTTGAGCAATTTGTACCATCCTCCTGGTCATATGGGATTGGACGTAAAAACGGATCAAACAGACGCGTAAGGGCGAGGAGAAAGACGCATCGGTGATATATCATTAATGATATATAAAGCTGAGCCAGTGTTTATCTCGGGGTAAGCAATTAACCCCAGAACGGTCGTTTATCAGTCTCCGATGTAACAGTTGCATCTGTTGCAGACCAGCTGTATTATGCTGGTACTGCATGCGGAATAATGGATTCGAGATTCCGCCAAAACTTCCCACTGCACGTATAGTAATAGTTCTACTGATCGCTGTGGTCTGTCTTAGCCAAAGGGCTGGGGGATGCTGATGATGCCTTGCTAAAAATAGCAATGTCAAAAACTGATCAGCACGTCTCCTTATCAACAGCAATCGAGTGTTTTTTGAATAATTGAAATCGGTTAAACCGTGTTCCCGAAATCGTCGACGAAAATTTGTATCCGCACACACACACATACACACACACATACATCCATTTTTTCTAAGGTATGCCAAAATGTTCAGAAACCTTTGAAACGTAAAGATATATACAAATTTTCATTTACGATTGGATTGTGTAAATTATTTAACAATGAAAAATTCAGACGAAATAATAAAAAGACTTTTTTCCTCCAACGATTGTCGGATGACTATATAAAGGGACTTGCTATTATATAAAATATTTGTCAAAATAGTGAGATGAGTCTTGTTTTAGAGGTATCATTGTACCGACGGTTTGACAAAATAAAGAAAAGAATATTTTACTATTGAAATAGAAAAGACAGAAAAAATCTCCAATAATTTTTGCATGTGATATTTTTAGGAGATACACTGTTTATCTATTCCAATTTCTAATAAATATTGTATTCTTCATGCATCTTGATTTTATTTATTATTTTTGTATAAACAGATCGCAAAATTAAATGAATAAAAAAATTGATTTTTTTTTTATTATTTTTTTGAACAGCAATCAGAACCTTACGTCCTATAAGCTGACACTTCTCCTTCCTTCGTATTTTTTTAGATGGTAACCTAATGATTAATCCATCCATATTTGATGATTTTGTTATTAGAATTAATCTAATAGGGTTGACTTTTTATTGGTGCAGCAATGCCAAGCAAGGGCTATTTTCACTTGGAAACATATTGCCATCTATATTTAAAAAAAATAAAATGATTAAATAATAATTTAAATGCATTCAATTGACCCTCCAAAATTAGTGCTGTACTGATTCAAATAACCTCCGCAACAGATGTGAAATTGACCGCTAATTTTGTCATCACTCTCGATTGTTTACAATATTAAAGTATTGATGACAAATTATTTGCCATAATTTTGATTTGATTGATAATTTTGATAAGAAAAATTTAACGTAAAATGTTTTCTCCACTTCTCGATTGCTGCCATATTGATTTGGCTAGAGCTTTTGAAGTCGATCCAGAAATATTCAAGTTTATCACCGCCTCACTAGCAAATCTGGATAGGATATCTAACCGCAAAACAATCACTTACCGATTGTATCCAATTCAATAAAAGTGTTCGAAACCGTAATCCGACTCTTCGCCTAATGTAGCAATATTAGAGCCGCGTACTGGGTAGTAAATTTTAGTCGACGAGCATCGTTTTAACAGCGACTTTATCGAACTTGTCTCGAACGCTGACATTTATTTGTCAGTTAATGTACTCCGCCTGAATTAATGGTAAACTGTACCTTCGGGACAGCGATTTGCGTAATATGTGCTATGATGTCCTATCGATGCCCCAGCGATGCCCGAGCGATGTCCCATCGTTACCCCAGCGATGTCCCAGACTATTCAAGTGAATGAACTAATAGTTATGTTCACTTATAACATAATTCGAGATTCGAAAAAATAATGTCTATTTACATCCAATATTTTCAACTATATTTTTGGTAATATTCAATAAATCTGATGTTCTTCTAAAGTACAAAAGTTTTAGCAGACATTACAATGTAACCCAATAATGCATAATATAAATCAAATGCCTTAATGTAATAAAAATCTCTTAAGTCCGCTCTAAAGCAATATATAAAAAATTACATCGTAATTAACCCTCTCCATTTAAAATATCTTTTACTACGTGATGCTCAACCAAGCCTGCATCCATTCCAGCTAAATTAGCTTATAATTCAGTAAGAATGTTGCTCGAAATACAGGCCGGGCAGAATATATAATATGTCCAATGGTGTATAACTAATTACAAAGTGATATATCTTACAGCAAACGTACGTTAAACACCGAAAACGCTTTATAATAATTACCGTGGATTTATGAACATAAACTGCATGTGTTCATAATGGTGTATACGTGTGTATTACGCTAATTACCATCGTGCACAAGGAGAAAATTGAATTTGAAAAATATTTGCCGATAAAAATAAAAGATAGAGAATAAATTGAATTAGATTAGAAGAGCCGAGAAATCTTATATTTGATTACAAAAATATTATTAATTCAGGTAGAGATAACGTTATTAATT